GGAACATAATGAATAGTCAGGTGACCATTTTGTAACTTTTAATAGTCGAGGGACTCAACAAAGCAGCACTCCATAGTCGAAGGATTATTTTATAATTTTTAATAGTTAAGGGGCTTAATAAAATAATATCCTATAGTCGGGGTACTATTTGCTTTCTTTACCCTTAAAAATAGTAAAAAAAATGTTACATCTAACTTTTGTAGGCTCTTCGACCCTTTATATAGTAAAAAAAGGGTGGATGTATATTATTGGTCAAAATGATCCCTAAATTCAATTTGATTGTTTCTATATTGGACACTTTTCAAACACTTTCTGTAACACCCTTTTCCCGTATCCAACCCCGAAAACGAGTCAGAGATGTCACAAAACATTAGGAGTCAATCTACATTTGAAAACTGGTAAAATTTTGTTTCTTTCAAAAGTTTACAATTCTTAACTTTTATTGTAAATAATTTTCATATAAAATCTAAATAATAATAATATTCTGACTTGTAATTAAAATTTGGTTTTAGGCATCAACTAGACAATTCTATTCTTTTTCATATCATAAATAAAACTATCTAAAAACCATCTGATTAAAAAACCAATTACATAATATTTAATACTACCCATACTTATATTTTGCAAACATTTCTTACTCGTATACATGTCAGCTATAAACTTTAGAACACGATAGGATACCATCACTGTTACCTGAAAATATTCCTCAGTGATTGATTCCAAACTCAGCTCCCCACTCCTCTCGCATTCTTTTACATACGCTTGAAAATCATCACACGCTAACTATTCACTTATTGAGGCAATCATAGAAATATTCAAAGCAATGCAACAAATAAATGAAATAAGTAACAATATTCAATGCATTGTGATCATTTTACCTGCATTCCATCCATGTTACCATTTATCAACATGATATAAATTGGATATAAATTTGTTTACCAATATACTTGTCATTTATTCCATAAGATCATAAGCTTATTGACCTATTTATCATTTATTAACCAATAAATCATAGCCCAACCGTAAACCTATGAAGACCCTGGGTACTTGAGTCATATATGCACCGAAGTGCTTGCGCATAAGGTCGTGCCCACCACTGTACTAAGTGTCCTTGCACACTGTAGTATTGAATTAAACCTACACAAAGTGTCCTTGTACACTATTGTGCTAAATTAAAAATGCAGTTGTTGGACTCTATGGCATGCCAACTACACCCTATCCTTCAATGACTTACTTGGGCATACAATCTATTTTATTTCATCCATGGCAATGTATATTCATATAATTTGGAATTAAGCAGTTGATACCGGAAATAACATCATGAAAATTAGTGATCAATGCATCATATTTTCAAACTTGACATATTATGAACATGTTAATAATATGATAAATGATATAAATATCATTCCAACATAAATAAGGTAGACTTAACGCAAGTGTTCCTAATGATGTATAAAACATCCATGTATAATGTCAGACATGCATTACGCTCACTTTGACATTATAAAAATTTCAATATAAGCCTCACAAAGGTTCAATATAATCCTTCGATTTCAATTTGGTTCGATCCCAATTTTTATCACAATTTCATACTCTGGCAGTTTGTACTACCTTCAAAGAAATATTATTTTGTATTATTATACACACTTAAAAATTATTCCGTTTATACCAATATAATATAGACTCAAACAAGAATCCAACCATATAAGTAACTCCATCTAGTTCCTTTTGTACAATTTATAGTAAATCTTCAAAGTTAACTTACATAAGTTGTTTTGAGTAGAATCTGATGCCATATTTTCTGACCTATCCTCAATTAAAAATCCTTATCTTTTTGGTAAACATATAGAAATCAATTTTCATTGGTTCTAAATAAAACTAGACAGCTATACGAATCCAACGGTATAAAAATCATCCCCTAATCATTTCTTCAGAATTTATGGTGCTTTTCTAAACTTGTTGTTCATAACACAAATCTAGGTAGATTTCACCAATTTACATTTTTACCTTATTCACTAATTCTATTAGCTCACTAAATGCACATTTATGCATAAACCACAAACCAAATAGCTATTAGAAGTAATTTCTTACCATAGTATCTCCGTCACTGGCTCATCGCAAACCAATGTTCGTTTGATAACATAAGTACAAATTAAATTTGCACTCATCTGGTGTCCTTAGCTTGTAAACCTTCCTTAAAGATTCACATTTCATCCTTAAGCTTCTCCTTAGCTTTAATAATGTTTGATCTTGATTTTAAGAACACAATCTAAACGAGCATCATTACAAGACATATACAAATTCAAACCACATGTTAGAATCTTACTAACATAGGCATAGATTAGAAAATAAATTCCTAAAAATCTTATGATGCTCGTTCGATACTAATTCTATTTCACAACGTAAATGTTGACCTTAACACTTCTAATTGACCAATCAAATTCCTTTTTATCCAAATTTCACATAAAATTTCACTTAAGTTCCCAAATTTTCCATATTTGTGATTTGAACCTCAACTTTTACCAACTTTCCAAAATAATCAAATTTCACATCCTAACTTCAATTTCAACCATCAAACATTAATTTCCAGCATAGTATATCAACTATTGCACATTTACATGTTAACCCACAACTTTTCTATAATTTTCAAATAGGTCCCCCAACTTTCATAAAATTACAAAAAGGGTCCCTATAACTTTCTAAGGATTGAAGAATCCTTCATACTTCATTTCCAACCCTTACATAAAATTTCCATAGTTTTTCTCACTACTTAAAGCTTAGGTCGAATATCAAGAGTGTAGGGTTTCATCATTTCACTTGATTTAATTCGATTCGAGCCTGAAATCAACCTCTATTAACATTTCAAAAATCTCTACAATTAAACCCCTAACTTCATTTCATCAAATCACACTTTTTACCAAATTTAGGGTAAGGCTGAAACTTATATACACATGTATAGGTGATTTTAATCATCAATCAAGCTTGGAAATGAATCTACAACCTCAATAACCTAAAAAATCATCATCAATTCTTAAAACCCTAACATGCATATTAACCCTAGAATTTGGGATCTTTGAACTCAAGAAAAATTAGCATGCAATAATGGTACCAAATGATAGTGTTTTTCAAATAGAATAATTTTCTATTTCACGGCTCGATCCAAAATCCAAAGGAAATTGCTCAAAAATGAAAAATAAAACTTTTCTTACCTAGTTCATGGGGAGAATGAAATGGAGGCTTGAAGATGAGCTTGTCTCATGAAATTTCTAAGTAATTTCATGTTAATTTCTTATTTATTAGGCTTAAATGAATTTAAAATACATTTAATATGAAATGATAATTTTACCATTAATGAATCCTCATATTTACATCCATACCAAGCCACATAACCCTTATCATATTTTCCAAAGTCAAATATGGACAAAATATTATACCCTTTACCATTTTATCCATGCAACTTTCCAAAAATTTCAATCTTGCCACTTTAATCCAACAGTCCAAATTGAACATGGAAATTAATTCTCAAATCTAATTATCCATATTATTTTCCATCATTTTAAAATGTGAAAATAATATTTCTAATTTTAATTTAATATCATTCAATTTTATCAAAATTTCTATTCAATCTGATTTACCAAATTTTATCAGAATTTAACACTTTCTAACTTTTAACATAAATTTCGGATAAAAATTTTGATTTTCACCAAAATATCGTTTTTGGGGGTGAACTATTCATTTATGGGTCAAATCACCTCAATTTTGGAAATTGCACTTTTAGTACTCAAATTTTTGAAAATTACCCTTTTGGTCCCTAAACTCTTTCAAACTTTATATTTTAACTATTAAACTTTCAAAAATTACATTTTGGTCACTAACTAAAATTCTGGGGTGTTTTGGATCAAGAAAAAGATTATTACTAATGGGAATAATGTTTTCCAAAATCACATACCCATGTTTGGTTCAAAAGCATTTCCATTAGGGGTAATGAAACTTTACTTACAGTACCTTCTTTTACCTTATATTCTCAAGAATCCTATCCCCCTTTTCTTAGGTATTAGACAATTATCTCCACTTTAGACAATAATACACCTGAAGAATATAATTATTTCAAAATGGTGTTTTTTTTATATAATTACACGAGTATAAATCTATTTTATTTATTTTATAATATTTATTATAAAATAATATGATGCATATAAAATAAAATGTAAAATAAAATATATCATTTTTTTATTTTTTTTACGTATATGTACGATTCAAATTTTATTTTTGTATATATTTTATTACATATATTATTTAGGATTAATTTTCATAAAAGGTTTTCATACTATATTCTTTAATATTTTTATTTATTTTTTTCATATAAGTTGATATGATATTTTTTATACAACTCATACATGTAGCATAAATAAAAAATGTAGCAATTAACACATACTTACATCGGTATAATTATGTAAATCTCCCAATATTTTACTACCTAAAAATAAATACATAATTATATTAGTGTAAATATGTTTTAATATTTTCAAAGAAATAATTAAAAATAAAAAATATATATTAAGTTATTTGTATACAAATTTTATTATAAATTTTAAAATTAGAAATAATAGAAAATTATATTTTTCATGAACTTTCATGTAAATATGTTGACTCTAATATTAAAAAATGAAATATGTTGACTCTAATATCGAAAATTCTATTTGTTAAAAAAGAAAATATATCTCAAAGATAATTTTGTAAAATATACATTTTTCCTATCTTATATTATTTCAATCAAACACTCTAATCTTACATTTCTACTAAACAAAATCAAACAATGTAATACAATATTATCAGTAATATATTAAGTAATGTAACATTCTAGTAATCTCATTCTCAAAAGTAATCTTACATTCCATATACAAAATGAACATTAAAACTAGTGTACTTCAACTACGCCATTGTTGTACATATAAAGAGTTAAAAGTTCATTTGCTCTTAGAGATGGTAGCAAATGAGCCTAACAAAAACTAAAATCCCACACAATGATAATGACAACGAAAATGCTAGCAAGTTACATACCGGGAAAAGTTCATTCAAGTGTAAAATCAAAGTTTCACTTCTTGAAGTTCCAATGCATCTACAGTTTATGTAGAATCATATGAGCACCATGCTGAGGACGAAGCGTAATCACAGTGATGGGAGAGTGAGCATATGAAGGGGAAAGCTCAAACCAGAATCGTCTTAGAATCATCGCAATCGCCATTTTTGCTTCCATCAGAGCAAAATTCTGCCCTATGCAGATTCTAGGACCCCCTCCAAAAGGCAGAAATGTGCCCTGACTTTTCGTTGCTTTTGAAACCCCTTCTGCAAACCTCTCCGGTCTGAATTCGAGCGCATCCTCACCCCAGATTTCTGGATCATGATGAATCAGGAGTGTCGGAATCGAAATCACCACTCCGGCTGGTATCGACAATTTCCCAAGTTTCATTTCCTTCGACAAGGAGCGTGCTAGTAAAACGATTGGAGGGTACAGCCTGAGTACTTCGTTCAAGATCATTGTCACCTGTTGCATTGGACTAATTACAAAAATGTGACAAGTAATTGGAAAAGCATGTTTCTAATTGGATCAAGAACCGGACTTACAACTTTGAGATGACTCAGGCGATCGGGATCCAGTTTACGGTCACCGAAGACTTGCAGAACCTCTTCCCTTGCCTTTGTCTGCCAATTCGGCTGCCGAGCAAGCAGAAACATTGTCCAAACCAGAAAAACCGAGGTGGTCTCTTGGCCAGCCAAGTAGAACAGCTTGCACTCGTCGACCACATCTTCGATACTCATTCCCACGTTCTTTTGATGTCCATGCTCTTGAATTTCTTTAAAGTTGGATTCAACAAGTATGCCTAACAAGTCATCGTTATTGACTTCACCAGCTTTAAATGCCTCCTCTCTTCTCTTTACCAATTCCCTAAGGGAGTCTTTTATCTCTTTGTCCATCACCTTCAACTTCCTGTTTGTCTTGGTTGGTAGAAACCTTCCACAATACAAATATCAAACATAAGGTTAAATCTTGGATAACTTATAATTAGAATAGTGACTAATTTTACCTCCATCCTGGAATGTAAATTGACTGTACTACTTGTGTGAGAAGATTAGTTTGCTCGTCTAGCAGTAGGAAAATCCGATTTCCTTCTTCGTAGCTGCTTCCGAATGCTGCTCGAGAAATCACATCTCTTGTTAGGTTTACGAGACAAGGCCACACATCGACCTCACTCGACCCGTCTACGGACACCATCTTCTCCCATTTGTCGATCATCTCGGTACAACATTCATAGAATGCTGGCAACATGCTCTGCAGTAATTTCCATGTTAAGAAAAAAACATATATGTTCCTCTATTAATATAATTCCCACAATTTTCTAGGTAATTGTCATAAAAACTTCATCACAAGCCACAACACACGAACAAATTAACAAAAGGATCAATGAGAAAATACCTTCAATTTTCTTGATGAAAAGCATGGGAAATAATCTTCCTATGCTTAGCCCACTCATCTCCCTCGAGGGTTAAAAGGCCACTAAAAAGTAAGCTGAGAAGTGGGTTGACACGAGGCTTCTGAAACTCGTTGTGTTTTGTGAATATCTCTCGTATCAACTCAGGATCAGTGATTGTGATCCTTGGACTGGGACCAAACCACCGAATCGAGTTCTTCCCTGCAATTTTTCCACAAGAGATTACAGACGTTAAGAGGAACCAAAAAGAAAGAAGAAGAAAAAACAGCGATATCAGACGAACCATAACTCTTGACAGTTTGATGATAGTGAGGGATCACGTATGGGGCAATATCATCGGTTAGGGAAGACATAGGTTTGGATCGTGCTTGTCTGGTCATGGTGAGGATCTCCTTGATTTCGCCGAACAAGAACCTGTAAGAATTTCCAGAATAACCCTGTCGTCTCAGGCAATTTTCGAGCATCTTCGGCTTCAGCCAAACCCAGTTCAAAACCCTCCATCCCAATATCATCAATAGCCCCACAACAAGAAAAGAAAACAAAGCTCGAACTATGGCAATGGAATCTTCCATGTTTATCGACAGAGAAAATAGGTGCACACGATGAAAATAGAGGTGTTTCTGAGAGAGAAAAAAAAGGCAAGTACAGAGAATGTTTTGGCTTGGACAAAAATAAATTTCTTCTGATAAAGTACAGTATTATTAAGGTTGCTGAAATTGAAATCTTTGATGAATCATTGGGACACGAAAACGGAAACCTCGGAAATTACAAATTCATATTATTTTCCAAACAAAGATGAGTCCAGAAGGCATATCACACGGTGGATAAATTTATAAATAATCATTAAATTATAATAAAATAATTTATTGGCCATTTAATTTTTAGAAAATTATAAAATAACTATTAAATTTTAGATTTTATTAAAAAGAAATATTGACATTTAACTATCGTTTAGGGCCAATGTGGCATATTAAATTAATAAAAAGATACCTCATTTCCTCTATCAATTGTGACTAAAATTTTATTTTTAATAGTTTTTAATAATTTTAAGTAATAATTTAAAAAATAGAAAAATATTTTTAAATATATGGATTTTCAATTTTTTTGAAATTATAAATATATTTTAAAAATTATATTTAAAATTATTAAACAAAAGTTAAAGAATTGAATCACATTGTTTAATAAAAATGATTTCATTTTTATAGCTGAAATCATTGGATCTAAAAAATTATAAATTATAATTTTTCAAATATAATCACAATCAAATAAAAAATTAATTATAGAAAATTGTGAATTAATAAATTCGTATTTTTAAAAGAGTAATTATAATTGTATGAATTAAAAGAATCATTATAAAGTTGTAATTTTTAAAACATACTTTTGTAATTTTAAAAATGAATCACTAATTTGTATATGTATGTATATATATTTAAAAATAATATTTTTTTTTCAAATTATTACTTCGAAATATGAAAAAAATCTCAAAATGAAATTTAGTTTACAATTGAGAGTTCGAATGGGTTATTTTTATTAAGTTAACATGTTACGTTATCTCTTTAATGATAATTAGATATGCGACATTCATTTTATAATACAATTGAGGGGTTGAATGAGATATTGTGTAAGTTTTAAAAGTTCAATGTTCAAAAGGATTATTTTAGTATAATTTAATGACCAATTAAAAATTTTACCCTACAAAAGTAGTGGTACATTTAAGTGTGACACGCATTCTAGAATTTTCCTTACTAAATATAATTGAGTGATGTAATTAGGGTGTTAAATCAGTTAATTCGGTTAATCGACTTAACCGAAATACTCAAAATTCATTAATTAAATTTTTTTTAACCGTTAAGCGAATCAAATTTTTTTTTAAAAAAAATATAGCCGAACCGAACTAAATTAAGTTAATTGGTCGGTTAACCCAATTAACCAAAATTTATAAATATTATATATTAAATACTTAATATTTTTTATTTATCTGGTTAATTCAGTCGGTTAATTTGGTTAAAATTGAAGTTTAAACACCACTAAAACTAAATAATATATAAATAATATATTAAAAATTTAATAATTTCAATTAATTTGGTTAATTATTCGAACCAAATTAGCCAATAGAAAAAATCATTAATCGTTAATCAATCAAACCCAAAATTAAGAAATCGAAATTTTGTTTCATCGATTAAATTGGTTTTAATCGAATTATGAACCCCTAGATGGAACCATAAATGGAAATATTTGCAAACAGAAGGCAATAATTGAGTAATGAAATATTTTAATATTTATATATTACCAACAAATAAATTTGATAATAGAATTAACGAAAAATCGTCTACATAATATATTATGGATTTTTTAGTTTTTGACGAAATATATGATTTGAAATTCAATATTGAGTATGTTATTAATTTATTATATTTTTTTAAATTTAAAATTTATTATATAATTTGAATCCACTCTTAATAGTTAAAGTGGATAATGTTCTCACTAGATATTTTAAGTTCGAGCAATTATACCTACATGATATACACATTATCAATGATTAAGGAATATTGTGAAAAAATATTACATTAGAATCATCTTAGATTATCTAAAAAATAAAGTTCATAACTTTTAAAATATTCTATAAAAAGTTAGTTATAAAGATTTTATTTTATTCGAATTGATAAGTTCAATAACAGAATATGCCAAATCATGTTTATCATATTAAATATTTCATTTTTCTTTATTTACTTAGAAGTAATTTTCAAATTAATATATTATAACTTAAAATTTAATATATTACAAACAAGATTAGAATTTAATTTTTACATAAATCAAATAAATTTATTTAGGGTACGTCTGTTTCAATATAATTAGTTTTTTTTCATTTTTTAGTGTTTGGTTCGTAAAAAATATATTATCAACGTAATTCATTCTCTTGATCAACATAATTTTTATTGTATTTTTTGAAAAATTAAATTGTATTCCAGAATTTTCACTTCAAAACATAAACAATAAAAATAATATTATTTTACATATTTAATATACTATATTATTATTATTTTAATAAAAATATTAATTATTAAAATATATTATTAATACTTTTAATAATATAATATCATAATTTTTGTGTTATACTAATATATTAAATTATACTATAATAATATATGCTATTATATTTTTATTTTAATAACGAATAATAAATTATTAATTACATTATTTTTATGTATTAAAATCATTTAATTATAAAATATTTAAAATATATTTAATAATAATTTCTAGAATACAATATAATATTATAATATTATAATTTGTAATATAATAATAATATTCTTATTCTAATAAGTATTTAAATATAACTATTAATATAATATTTTTATTTTAGTAAACAATTAATACAATTAATTTTTTTATTTTAATAAAAGATAATAATCTTAATATTTTTATTTATAAAATTGTAAAACTTAATAAATTAATAATAATACTAAAAATAATAATAGATAAATTATTCTAGAAATATTAAAATACTAATATTAATTATTTCTAATTAAATAATATTATTTATTGTACTTGATATTAATAAAAAACTAATTTCTGAAAAAATTACTAAGTAGTAGAAAATTGTAACACCCATCTCCCGTATACCTTTCCGTACACGAGATACGGATGTCACACCACTTTAAAAATATTTATCATTTGAAAAAACTGTAGAATTTTGTTTCAATTTTTAACAATATCAAAGTATGATATTCATATATAAGCAAAATACTAAAACTATCAATTAAATACATTACAAAATATTAATTTAGTTCCATTACATGCCAACTAAGCTTTCAAAAGGAATAAGATTGTCCTAACGTTACTGACGAGTCAACCTTAATTGATGATCGCTGCTGCTATTGTTGCACTCCTTATGCAACTAATCTTTGCCTTTTCCTACGCGTGAAATCAACACACATTAAGTATTTACTTAGCGAGACATAATACTGCAAAGATATCAAACTTTATACATAAATATCTTATGAATATTGAATAACGATTTAAATTGCATAATCCATAAGGACCAGATAAGCCCTTCTCAGTTACACCATAATTCTTTCTGTAAGTCATCTAAATTATTCTTAATAGGCCTAACTTATCTATCCTTCTATATATTTTTCCCCAATTATTCTTTATTTGCACGGTGTACTTTAAATTAGAATGTATTATACATGTATTGCACCAAAATGTCCATTAATCATGTATCTTTTATAATCATTATGGGCGGCATCTTAACTACTGTTAACACACCATTTTATATTTTCATTTAGGCATCCTTTCATACCTATTATGTACCGTTTACGTTTTTCCTTTATGACATCCATTCATACCAATTATGCATTGTTGTACATTTTATATCTATATGACATCCTTTTATACCATTTATGCACCGTTTATATCCAAATGCATTATAATTCCTTTAGTCTTTTACCCAAAAGCATTTAACATTTCATCTAACTTGCATGATTGACACTTTTCTGTCAAATGCACAGCTAGTCCATTTATCTTTTACTCAACGGTCTTTAATCATTCATCTAACTGGCATAATTGACACATTTCTACCAAATGCATAGCTAGGCCATTTATCTTTTACTCAACGGTCTTTAACCGTTCATCTAACTGGCATAATTGACACATTTTTATCAAATGCACAACTAGGCCATTTATCTTTTACTCAATGGTCTTTAACCGTTCATCTAACTAGTATCCCTTGATGTGCAAGCACACTAGTATTTTTAGATGGAATCGGTTGCTTACTTTTTGCTTTGTAACTTTTGCTATCAACCCCTTCTCTCATCTCTGGTTCCCCCGCTCTACGCGAGTTCGAGGATTCTGACATCTATTAGAACATATATAGTAATAACATTACAGTCAGTAAAGAGTGTCATCAATTACACTCTAATGACACCATATCAGTAACCTTGACAATCTTAATAGCATGTAAATTCTTTTTCTCATTTTTATTGAACTCAATTTCGGCCAAGAATCGGCTAAACCTATAGCTCTGATACCAATAAATTTAACACTCATCTCCCGTATATCTTTCCATACACGAGATACGGATGTCATATCACTTTAAAAATATTTTGTCATTTGAAAAAAACCGTAGAATTATGTTTTAAATTTTAACAATCTCAAAGTATGATATTCTTATATTAGCAAAATACTAAAACTATCCATTTAAATAAATTACAAAATATTAATTTAGTTCTATTACATTCTAACTAAGCTTTCAAAAGGAATAAGATTGTCCTAACGTTACTGACAGGTCAACCTTAATTGATGATCGTTGCTGCTACTGTTGCACTCCTTACGCAACTAATCTTTGCCTTTTCCTGCACGTGAAATCAACACACATTAAGTATTTACTTAGTGAGACATAATATTGCAAAGATATCAAACTTTATACATAAATATCATATGAATACTGAATGACGATTTAAATTGCAGAATCAATAAGGACCAGATAAGCCCTTTTCAATTACACTATAATTCTTTCAATAAGTAGTCTAAATTATTCTTAGTAGGCCCGACCTATCTATCCTTCTATATATTTTCCCCAATTATTCTTTATTTGCACTGTGTACGTTAAATTAGAACGTACTATATATGTATTGCACCAAAGTGCCAATTGATCATGTATCTTTTATAATCATTATGG